TATATATATATATATATATATATATATATATGCTCCCTTCCCCTCCCTCCCCCCTCTTCTCTTCCTCCCCCGCTCCTCCGTCCGCCCTCTGCTTCCCTATCCGTGCTTATCCTCCCTCGTCTACCCTTCCTCCTCCCCCCCCCCCGGCTTGCGTGGGCGTTTGCATTATCCTTCCTTGTCCCAGACGAATAGGTTGAACTTTCTGCAGGCGTGGACGGAGTACAAAGGCCACCAAGTGTATAAATTCCACGTGGCCGTCCATTTGGCGGAGCAGGTCGTTGCGAAGGGCAACCCCAGGGCGTACTGGACGTACCCGGACGAGGCGGAGAACCGCCTTATGAAGACGGTGGCCATGTCCCTTCACGGCGGAAACACATTTTATGTCAGGTTCCTTGAGAAGGTCATCCCTGAGATCCTCTGATCTCTGGGACCTTCGAGAGGAGCTTGGTGTAAATTGGGCTGCACTCTGCCGTGCAGGGACAACCATGGCCATCGTGTTCGTGAGGCGGTTCTTCGCGTCGTTCGGGTTGCCCAGTACGTCCTGCAGATGGATTATAAGTGGTTCCTATGTGCACACATCGAACACATGATTATGGATTCGTGTGGGCTGTGGTTTCCCTTCGCGACCCTGCGTCTGCGCGCAGGCTGGCGCCGAGCAGGGTTGAGAGGATGATATATACGTACATACATACATACATACATACATACATACATACATACATACATGCATGCAGGCAGGCAGGCAGGCAGGCAGGCAGGCAGGCAGGGAGGCATGCATGCATACATACATACAGCATGCACGCGTGTGTGTATGTACATATATATATATATGTATTTATGTATGGTTTACCCTGCCTGCCATTGGTGTGTCCCTGCCTCCGCGACTGGCGGCTTGCGGCCGAAGCTGTTTCAGGCAACTGATTTCATCATGTGGAGGCTTGCGGCAGGAGCAAAATCGAGGACGCTCTTGTCTTCTTGTTCCCTCCTCCCCCCCCATCCTCCTCCCTCCCGCCTCTTCCGTCCTTTCTCTCCTCTCCCACTCCATGGAAGGCTGGCATTGCAGGGCCTCCTTTTCCTGAGCCTCCGCCTCTTCCTCTCCCCCCCCTGCCTCCCCCCTCCTCCCCCCCCTCTCCCACCTCCCCCTCGGGCCTCATCCTCGGGCCTCCTCCTCCTCCTCGGGCCTCCTCCTCCTCCTCCTCCTCCTCTTCCTCCTCCTCCTCCTCCTCCTCCTCCTCCTCCTCCTCATCCTCCTCCTCCTCCTCCCGCCGCAGCTCAAAGTAGCCATGAGTGGCTTGAAGCTTTGCTTTGCTGGAGGGGGGGTCTACTTAAGCTCCCCACCCTGCCGCGTGGGCTCGGCCGCCTCCCCTGCGCCCCGCCCCCGCCCTGCTCCCGTTTGGTCGGGGCGCCGCGGCCGCCATTGGGCGCCGCGGCGCGTCTGCGTGCACGGGTGGGGGCCGTGGCCTTGCTGGTGGTTCTTTTTGGGTGGACCCATCGTGGGCGGGCGCCCCGCCCACTGGTGGCTCCACGTCAACCGCCCAGCTAGCACCGAGCCCTCTTCATGGCGTTGGTGTGGGTGGACGCGTCGGCGGTGCCGACGGGCGGGTGCCTTGGGCAAACCAAGAACACCCGCCCCGCACGGATCGTGTCCCTATTGGGAGCTCCAGCCCTGATCGCCTGTGCAGGTACGTACGCGTGGTACGACCAGCAGCTCCGCAACGCGGTGCTCGGCGCATGGTCGTGAAAGCGCCGCGGAGGGTGCGAAGGATCCTCCTCCTCCTCCTCCTGGCCTCCTCCTCCTCCTCCTCGCCGTGGCTCACGGTAACGAGGCTCCGCGCTAACGGAGCTCAGGACAACACTTGGTAGTATACAACGCACGTGCGTACCCTTGTCCCGTGGGTATATGTTGTTTGCGTGATGAATGACTTGGATATGCACTCGTTTGTCCAGGCGTGCATCTTAAGTCAGTACAGTATTGACAGGTCTGGATATAAGTATATATTGATATGTATTCAGTGAAATAAAAATGTAGATTCAGTCTTGATTACTTGACAATCTTGACAACATTGACAAGCTTCGTGACATTGGCATATGGACAGATCTGACAAGGCTTGATATACACAGCTTGGGCGAGTGTTATTAACATGTCATGATTTTTGTCCAACGTCCTGATTTTTTCATGACGCATGATTTTTCCTGACGCAAGCGCGCGCCATGAAAAAATCACGACCGTAAGAGGTCTGGGGAGGGGGGTGTTGGTCGAGTTTGGGCGAGAAATCGCGGGGTGGGGGGTCCCAAAAACAGAGGGTCCAAGGGGTGGGGATGCCGGGGCATGGGAGGGGGACATGGGAGGGGCATGGAGGGGGGGTTTGGTCGAGTTTGGGCGAGAAATCGCGGGTGGGGGGGGTCCCCAAAAACAGAGGTCCAAGGAAGGGTAATTCCGGGGCGATGGGAGTGGCATGGAGGGGCATGGAGGGGGTGTTGTCGAGTTTGGTCGGATCGCGGGTGGGGGGCCCAAAACGAGGGTCCAAAGGGGTGGGGAGGCAGGGGCATAGGGAGGGGCGTCCACTGGGCAATGGAGTTTGGGGGGGTTTGGCGAAGTTTGGGCTAATCGCGGGGTGGGGGGTCCCAAAAACAGAGGGTCCAAGGGGTGGGGATGCCGGGGCATGGGAGGGGCATGGAGGGGGGTGTTGGTCGAGTTTGGGCGAGAAATCGCGGGGTGGGGGGCCCCAGAAACAGAGGGTCCAAGGGGTGGAGATGCCGGGGCATGGGAAGGGCATGGAGGGGGGGTGTTGGTCGAGTTTGGGCGAGAAATCGCGGGGTGGGGGGTCCCAAAAACAGAGGGTCCAAGAGGTGGAGATGCCGGGGCATGGAGGAGGGGCATGGAGGGGGGTGTTGGTCGAGTTCGGGAGGAGGGCATGGAGGGGAGTGTTGGTCGAGTTTGGGCGAGAAATCGCGGGGTGGGGGGTCCCAAAAACAGAGGGTCCAAGGGGTGGGGATGCCGGGGCATGGGAGGGGCATGGAGGGGGGTGTTGGCCGAGCTTGGGCGAGAAATCGCGGGGCGGAGGCTGGCTGTCACAGGGGGGTCGGGGAGGGCCCCGGCGAGGATGGCTAGGGACTGTGTGATGTGTGGGGACAACCTCGGATACAGCTGAGAAGGATTCCGCACACGCCTCATGGGGTCGGCGGATTTTTTCAGCTCGCAGGGCTGGCGCCGCAGTCCGCCGCCCGGGCCCGCTCTCCGGGCCCGGCTGCGGCGCCCGAAGGCGGCGGACGGCGCGATGCCGCGCGGGCACGGCGTCGGCCTCTTTGCCGGCCAGGCGGGCCGCCGCTGCCGGGCCCGCCGCCGCCGCCTCGCTGGGGGCGGGTGGCCGCGGGTCTGCGCTCGAGGGCAGCCCGGGCATCGGCTGCACGCGAGATCAGGGGCAACGACAGGGGGGTGTAGGCATACAGTGGAGGCCCATGCCAAGAATCAGGGGATCACAACCATGGATCAAGGGGGCGTGGATTAGCGACGGGTCCCGTTTCCAGGGGAAATCGAGGATTTCCGCCGCCGAGCGAGGCGGCACCGGCCGCATTTTTGCGGGGGGCAGCTCCCCCGATCCATGGATTTGGCGTCCGCGCGCCAACCAGATCCATGGATCGCTACCAAAAAAAACACCCTGCTTGCCTCCAGGGTGCTCTGGGTTTCCTGGGTTTCGATGGCTTTGCTGTGGAAAGCGTGGTGTTCCCACTCCAGAAATGAATGACCGTCCTGGGGTCTCAGGGTTGGGTTTCTTGTGGAAGATTTCTTGTGGTCGGGCACCTACTGTAGCTCCACCCTGCCCAGGATCGTGCGGGTTCGCGATCGGAGGCCTAACGCCGATTTAGCGACGACGTATCGCCGATTCCATGTCGATGTTCCCCCCCTATGCCGTTCCCCCCTATCGTCGCCCCTCATAAGAATGTCGGCGGGGGGGGAGGAGGGAAGGCCTTCTAGACACAGCCTTGCTCCTCAGGAGGCGCGGGCCTTGTCTGTAGATGTAGGGCCGCCGACTTCTGAGAAGAAGCCCCCTCCTAAGAAGCCTTCCGCCCTCCCTGTACCTCCTTGTGCGCGCTGGCAGGGACGGGTGGTTTCGCAGGACGGGAGGCTTTTCACCGCTTCTGGCCTCTGGAGATTCTCGCCGGGCCCCAGGGCCGTCAAAAGGGCGGCCTGGGATGAGAAAGCAGGTTCCAGGAAAGGGTCATGACGTCGCATGTTTGGGGGAGTGGCCCTCCGCCAGGATGACCTCCGTGCCCACAGTGATCCCCCGAGCATTGTCTTGCACGCTTGGGGTTGGGCCCCCCGCGGCCGCCTGAAGCCGCGCGCGGAAGGTTACTCCTGCCTCTTGCCCAGGGCACTCTTGCGTGTAGTGACGAACGAACAACACACACCCATGCCCATAGGGAGGTCGTTGGGAGGAGGACTGGCTATGGGTATGGGTGCGGGTTGTCGGACCCTGGGGAACGCTCCTGTTCGAGCGGGGACCCCCATCCGACAACACGCACCCAGAGCCCTCTCCGATCCCCCTATGGGTATGGAGGAGGAGGAGGAGGAGGAGGAGGAGGAGGAGGCGGAGGAGGAGGAGGAGGAGGAGGACGAGGAGGAGGAGGAGGAGGAGGGATTGGCGTAGCCAGGAATCCCGAGGTCCTGGCGCTGCAATGCTTGCACCACGGGCGTTCTCGCCGGGTTTCGGGCCCCGGGGCCCCCACGGGTCGATCCAGCTCGAGGATGGGGAAGAAAGAGGGGATCTGTGGCTGCGGTCGTGAGTCTTGACGGTGTGTCAACTTTGTCGCGACTTGGGATCAAAGGGGATGCATCTTGGTCAGAGCGCGCCTCAGGATGGGTCCGCGGAGCAGCGGGCATCGGTGTCATTTTGTTTCCCCCACATCTTCATCAACGTAAGGTTTCGGAGCTGTGCGCAGATTTCCTGGATCGGCGCTGGGGCCCCCCTTGGCGGCGCGTCTGGCGGTGCCTCTGGCGCGCGGGGCGCGCCAGGGAGGGGGGTCCAGCGCTGGTCCAGGATATCCCCGCGGAGCTCCGAACATTGATTTTTGTAAGTTGATGTTTATGCTTTCTGCAGTTCTTTCTTCGTCTAGCTTTGCTGCTGGGGATGTCCGGCCCTCGCAGTCTGGGTGCAGCCGGGGACGCGCGCGGCATTTGAGACCCAGAGGAGGACACGCCATACCGAAGCTGGTGTTTGTCCTGGGGAGCCCTCGTCCGCACGGCTGGATTCTTTTCGAAATTCTGGTCAAGACTTACTCCAGATGTCGTAATAAAAGGGAGGGGGTCTGGACCCTCCAAGACAAGCCATTTCAGACCTCCCCCGTGGGAGAACCTTCCAAACAATCGTCCCCAGACCCCCCCCAGGCCCTCCAAGATAGCCTGGAGGAGACCTCCCCCGAAATGAGACCCCCCTCCCTTTATTACGAAATCTGGAGTACCCAGGTGGGGGTGGGGAGCAGCTGTATCGGTACCTTCGCATTCCCCCCGCGTGCTCCGCCAAGCATGCCCCCGAACGCAGAGCATTGGGGATCAGGGACCTGGGAGGACCAGGGGAAGGAAGTGGGGCATCCTGGAAGCGGACTCGGGGGTGAAGCGGGGGGCCCGAGGCAGCGGGGGGTCCATTTGGGGCACTCGCGATGGGCCAGGCGGCTCCCCGCCCAGACGTGTGAACGAGGCAGAAACATCGGGTTCGGCTGTCCGGGCACTCGCGCGTGAGCTGCGCGCGTAAGGCCGCCATCGGCGCCGCGCAGCGTGCCGCGGTTGCGGCCTGCACTGTCCACCGCGTGAGGTCGCCATGCCATCTCGCGTAAGACCCGGTTCCTCTCGTCGCTCTGACGTCGTTTTTTTTCTGTTTTCTTTTGCAGCGTGGCTCTCCAAAGGTCTGCTTTCCATTCCAAGTCGCCGTTTGATGGCCGTGGGGCCCGGCGAGGGACCCCCGAGGCCGAACATGGCAGAAAGCCTCCGTGTTTTTTTTTACGACGCGCGGATGTCAGGGTTCCCAGGGGAGGCTGGAGTGTGGTGGTCCTCGAGAAGCTTTTGCAGGTCGTGCCCACATAGAGGGTTCTCAGAGGCCAGCGGGGGCAAGGGCGACGGCGTGGGTGGTGGCGGTCGCTGTGGCGGCGGTGGTTTCCGACATCTTGTTCTTCCAAATGGGGTCTGAGTAGATTGGCTCGATGGACAGCCCGACTTTCTCGACGCCAGCGTTGCCGATGCATCGCCGACGTCGCCGATAAATCGTCGATGCATCTGCGATGCGGCGCGGTCCTCCGATCCCATCTATTCGGACCCCACTTGAGGCCTCTGTGAAAGCTATACGCCCTGGGCCACGAAAGTCTGCAGTCGTCTGTGTCGTCGGCAATGCTTCTTTCTTTCTTTCGGTCTTCCGCTGGCACCACAGTGCGCGTGCAAGGTCAATCTATGAGTCCGTGGTGCGACACCAGAAGCTCATCACGCCCCCAGGGGCCTTTGCCCTGAGCGCGAGGAAATATCAACGAGTACGACCAACTATCCAAAGGCAAACCTTTGATGCGAAGACATTGGCGCAAAAACGCGCCGCGGGAGGAGGAGGGGAGGGAGGAGGAAGCGAGGGAGGAGGAGGGGAGGGGGGAAGAAACAGCGCAGGCACAAATCCACATGGCAAGCTCATTTCAGATATGTGTGTACCGCTTCTAAAGCAAAGTCTAAAGCGGTCGCCTCAGCCTGGAACGCCGAACGCATGTTTGCTACCACTGCAGATTGGAATGCTAGCTTTTCGTGGATAACCCCCTGTCTGGTGCAACGGACTCCATACATAGCAAAGCCTATTGCAGCTAGATGGTGCCCTGCAGGGTTGTGCTGCTCCCGGAGGCCTCCATCCACGCAGACCTTGATGACGCCTTCGTTATCAATCTGCCTGTGAAGAGCGTCAAGATTCCAACTCGAAACAGGGTTCCAAGAGTCCATGGCCACGTTCACCAAGTAATCTGTCACTGAATTGTATTCTCGGCCCGCCCATATCACGTAGGGATCAATATCTCGCGGATTCCATCCAGTATGTCCTAGTGAAAGCAACCTGGCGCATATCCGCCGGAATACGGCTTCCAACTCCGGGGATCGTAGCACCGCCTCCCCATTGACGACGTCCGCGACGCCGAGACAATCCACTTGGACCCACAAGCGCTTTCGCCAAGAGTCCCATTGCGTATCCACTGGATGGGTGGGGAGATCGGGAACCGAGTGCCCCTCGGCAATGCTTCCAGAAGAGCATTCGTCCGCACGTTGCGGCTCACGTGCTGCCTAAAGCGCGAAGCGCACCCCAGGATCTTGCCTATACTTCGAGGCATTAACCTTCACGAAATAATGCCACCCGCACGCTTTGCTCTCAGTTCGTCGCCGCGCCGAGGGGTTGAAATGAGAGGCGGCATGCGTTCTTCAGGAGGCGGCCGCGCTTCTCAGCAGCCTGCATCCCTATGATAATCCTTTTCTGGCTTCGGAGAAGGCTTAGGAAACTTCACATAAGGCGGGAGGCCATTAGAGCCTTCTTAGAAGGCTATTTGTTCGCACAGTCGGATGTCGAAGGAGACAAGGATCCTCAAATGGTACGTGATACATAGCATGACATAGCATTGCGTAGTCAACAATTCCATATCATAACATTGCAGCGCAAGTCATGGCATCGCATAGCGGTACATGACATACCATTACATTGGATATTATTGCATGGCATGGCACTGCGTAGCCCAGCAATGCGTAATCCCAGCATAGCAGAGCCATGCATGGAACGGCGTAGTAGCAGTACGTAACCTAGGATTGATTTGCATACCATGGCTGCGTGAATGATGCAGCCGGGAAACCATGCAAAAGGACCGACAATTAAGAGATGTCGCAGGTGCCGCAGTGGGAGCACCTTTCGGAAGGACCGAAAACGTGGGAAAGAGCTTGTTCTGCAGTCGAGGGGGGGGCTTGGAACCGGACCCCCCCACTCCCCCCCGGATGGAGGGGGGGGGCAGGTTCGACCCCCCCCCCCTCCCTTTCCCGTGACGGAGGGGGGGGGGGTTCGACCTCCCCACCCCTCCCTCCTTCTCCTCTCTCCTCGGGCCGGTGCTTGCGTCGGCGGCGGCTGGCGGCGGCGGCGGGGACGACGATATCCTTTTCTGGGCCGGCGCCGGCGCCTGCGGCGGCGGGCGGCGGCGGCGGGGAGCGTCGACGAGGACGACGGTGGTGGTGGTGGTGGCGGTGGTGGGTTGTGGTGGTGGTGGTGGTGGCGGTGGTGGTGGTTTGGTGGTGGTGGTATGGTGGTTTGTTGTGGTGGTGGTGGTTGTGGTGGTGGGTGGTGGTGGTGGTGGTGGTGGTGGTTTGGTGGTGGTGTGGTGGTTTGTGATGGTGGTGGTGGTGGTGGTGGTGCTGGGTTGTGGTGGTGGTCTTGGTGGTGGTTTGATGGTGGTGTGGTGGTGGTTAGTGGTGGTGGTGGTGGTGGTGGGTTGTGGTGGTGGCGGTGGTTTGTGGAGGTGGTGCTTGTGTTGGTGTTGGTGGCTTGTGGTAGAGGTGGTGGTGAAGTGGTGGCTTGTGGTGGTGGTGGTGGTGGTGGGTTGTGCTGCTGGTAGTGGTGGTGGTTGTGGCGGTGGTGGTGGTGGTGGTGGTGTGGTAGATTGTGGTGGTGGTGGTGGTGGTAGTGGTGGTGGGTTTTTGTGGTGGTGGAGATGGTGAGTTGTGGTGGTTGTGGTGGTTGTGGTGGTGGTAGTGGCTGCGGTGGTGGTGGTTGCGTGGTGTGTTGGTGGTGGTGGTGGTGGTGGGTTGAGGCGGTGGTGGTGGTAGTGGTGGTGGTGGTGGTAGTGGTGGCAATCGTCGTCGTTGCGTCCCCGCCGTCGCTGGCGCCAGCGCCGGCGTTGCTTGCCGCCGCCAGCGCTGGCGCTGCTGGCCACCGCTAGCGCCGGCGCTGGCGCCGGCGCCAGGGGGGGTGGGGGGGGGATTTTGACCCCCCCTCCCGTTGGGCTGTCTCTGGTCGTCGTCGCTGCGTCCCCGCCGTCGGCGCTGCTGTCGGCCGCCAGCGCCGGCGCCGGCGCCGGCGCCAAGGGGGGGGATTTGACCCCCCTCCCTCCCCCCTCCTTGGGCTGTCTCTGGTCATCGTCGCTGCGTCCCCGCCGTCGGCGCTGCTGGCGGCCGCCAGCGCCAGCGCCAGCGCTGGCGCCGAGGGGGGGGGTTTGAACCCGAGGCCCCCTTGGGAGGGGAGGGGGTTCGGGAGGGGGGGGGGGGTTGGGGGGGAGGGGAGTCCCCGTGGTTTTGACCGACGGCGCCGAGTGTTGGGGGGGGTCACCTCCCTGCTCAAAACGCGCCGCCGAATGTTCCCGAGGCGCGCGCCCGTGAAACGCACTCTCTCAAACGTGGGTATGAGGCCAACGCTGCAGCGGCAGCATTATTCGGAAGCACCGTAAACGCCGAAATGAAACCAGCGTTGCAGCGGGAGCACGACTTTGAAGGACCAGAAGTTCGGAAGTGAGGCCAGCGCTGCAGCGGGAACACTATTCGGAAGGACGGAAAACACGGAAATGAGGCCAGCGTTGCAGCGGGAGTACCATTCGGAAGGCCAGAAACGCGGTAATGAGACCAGCGCTGCAGCGGGAACGCTATTCAGAAGGACCGAAAACGCCGAAATCAGACCAACGCCGCAGCGGGACCACGATTTTGAAGGACCAGAAACACGGGAATGAGACCAGCGCTGCAGCGGGAACACTATTCAGAAGGACCGAAAACGCCGAAATCAGACCAGCGCCGCAGCGGGACCACGATCTTGCAGGACCAGAAACGCGGGAATGAGATCAGCGCTGCAGCGGGAACACTATTCAGAAGGACCGACAACGCCGGAATGAGACCAGCGCCGCAGCGGGAACACAATTTTGCAGGACCAGAAGCGCGGAAATGAGATCAGCGCGGCAGCGGGAGCACCGTCGCAAACGATACAAAACGATCGGATTTGAAACGCAAAAAAGAGGCACCAACTGTTGAGATCCAGTGTGCGAAAGAACAGTAAGCGGATAGGGTGCGACGTCTTCCGGACGGAGACACGGGAGCGATGAGAGTTGTATGCGTCATGAGTAGTGGAAGAGAGAGGAAGGGGAGGAGGGGGATGATGATGATGATGATGATGATGATGATGATAATAACGATGCTGATTACGATGATGTGGATAATGCAGATGTTGATGACTCTGATGGATGATGAAGATGAAGATGATGATAATGCTGATTCGGATTGCGATGATGATGATGACGATAATGATATTGATGCTGATGATGACGACGATAATGATGACGATTCTGATCATGATGCTGATGATGCTGATGATGGATGATGATGCTGCAGATGATGATGATGATGCGATACAGATGAAGATGATGATGATGATGAGATGATGATGATGATGACGATGCTGCGGCAACTGCTGCGTCTGCTGCTGCTGCTGATGATGATGATGATGCTGATGCTGATGATAATTATGCTGATGATGAGCCTGATTATGATGATGAGGATGATGATGATGTTGATGATGATGATGATGGTGATGGTGATGGTGATGGTGATGGTGATGGTGATGATGATGATGATGAGAAGAAGGAGGAGAGGGAGCAGGAGGAGGAGGATGATGAGGTGAAGGAGGAGGAGGCGGAGCGGAGGGAAGAGAATGAGGAGGAGGACGCGAAGAATGAGGAGGAGGAGAAGAAGGAGGAGGAGGGATAGGAGGAGGAAGAGGAACATTTCGATGAGGATGAGGAGATGAGATGCGGAGGGTGGTGATGATAATGATGACGATGATGATGATGTTGATTACGAGGAGGATTATGATGATTCCGATGCTGGTAATGATGCTGATGAGGATGAGGATGAGGATGATGATGATCATGATGCTGGTGATGATTGTGATGATGCTGCTCATGATGATGATGCTGATGCTTATGACTATGATGATGCTTCTGATGATGCGGATGCTGATGCTGACGATACGCTGCTGATGATGGTCATGATGCTGCTGATGATGATGGTGCTGATGATGCTGATGATGCTGATGATGATGACGATGAAAGTGATGATGCTGATGATGAGGATCATGATGATGCTGATGCTTCTGATGATGATGATGACGATGACGATGAGGATGCGGATGCTGCTGATGCTGATGCTAAGGATGATGATGATGATGCTGATGTTGTTGATCATGATAATGATGATGATAATAATAATGATGATGATGATTCTGATGATGATGATCATGATTCCGATGAGGATGATGGTGATGATTATGATGCTGCTGATGAGGCTGATGCTGATGCTGATAATGGGCATGATGATGAGGATGAGGAGGAGGATGAGGATGATGAGATGATGATGCTGATGACGATGGGCATGAGGATGAGGAGGAGGATGCGGATGATGATGATGATGACGATGATGATGAGTATGATGATCATGATGATGATGATGATGATGATGACGATGACGACGATGATGACGATGATGGTGATGCCCATGATGATGATGATGACGATGACGACGATGATGACGATGATGGGGACGCTGAGGATGATGATGAAGATGATGATGTTGATGATCATGATGTTGCTTCTTCTGCTGCCGCTGCTGATGATGCTTATGATGATGATGATGCTGATGATGATGATGATGATGATGATGTTGATGATGATGATGATGATGATGATGATGCTGATGATGATGATGCTGATGATGATGATTATGCTGATAATACGGATGCTGCTACTGATGATGCTGCTGCTGGTGATGCTGAGGATGATGCTGCTGATGATAATGCCGATGCTGATGCTGATGCTGCTGCTGATGCTGATGATGCTGATGATGATAATGCTGATGCGGATGATGATGCTGATGTTGATGATGATGGCGCTGATGATGATGCTCATGCGGATGCTGATGCTGATGCTGGTGCTGATGCTGCTGATGATGATGATGCTGCTGGTGATGAGGATTTTGATGTTGCTGATGATTCTGATGATGATGATGATGATGATGATGATGATGATGAAGATGATGCTGATGCTGATGCTGATGCTGCTGCTGATGATGATGATGGTTCTGGTGGTGACGCTGATGATGATAATGAAAGGGCTGACGCTGATGATGGTGATGCTGCTGATGTTGATGTTGATGCTGATGATGGTGATGCTGATGATGCGGATGATGATGATGATGACGATGATGATAATGATGGTGATGGTGATGCGGATGCTGATGATGCTGATGTTAATATGGATGACGACGATGATGATGATGCTGATGACGATGATGATGATGATGATGATTATGATGATGATGATGATGATGGTGATGATGATGATGATGATGATGATGATGAATGATGCTGATGATGATGCTGATGATGGTGATGATGTGATGGTGATGATGATGATGATGATGATGATGATGCTGATGCTGATGCGATGCTGATGCTGATGCTGATGCTGATGATGATGATGATGATGATGATGATGATGATGATGATGATGATGATGATGATGCTGATGCTGATGCTGATGCTGATGCTGATGCCGATGCGGATGCTGCTGCTGATGATGATGATGTTACGAGGAAGAGGGGGATGAAGAGGAGGAGGAGGATAACTAAGAGGAGAAGGAGGAGGATGCAGAGGAGGATTAGTTGGATGAGGAGCAGGAGGATGAGGAATAATAAGAGGAGGATGAGAAGGAGAAGGAGGAGGAGGAGGAGGAGGAGGACGAGGAGGAGGAGGATGAGTGGGAAGAGGTAGAGGAAGAGGAACAGGATGAGGAGGAGGATGAGGATGGGGAGGAGGATGAGGATGCGGAGGAGGAGGAGGAGGAGGAGGAGGAGGAGGAGGAGGATGAGGAGGAGGAAACGGACCTGACGCAGGTCGGCGACGGGAGCGGAACGCCCCTCCGCCCCCCCCCCCGCCCGAGGCGGTGGCGGCGTCGTTCCAGGCGGCGGCCCCGAGCGGTGGGACCGTGGGTTTTGGGCGCCCGCGAGGGGGGTAGCGCGACGGCCACGAGGGGGGTAAGCTTCCTCCTCCTTCTCCTTCTCGTCCTCCTTCTCGTCCTTCTCCTTCTCCTCGTCCTCCTCCTCCTTCTCCGTCCTCGTCCTCGTCCTCCTCCTCCTCGTCGTCGTCGTCCTCCTCCTCCTCCTCCTCCTCCTCCCCTTCCTTCTCCGCCTCTGCCTCCGCCCCCGTCTCCATCATTATGCTCCTCCGTCCTTGTACTCCTCCGTCCTCCTCCTCCGTCCTCCTCCTCCCCCGTCCTCCTCCTCCTTCGCCTCCTCCTCCTCCTCCTCCGTTCTCCTCCTCTGTCCTCCTTCGTCCTCCTCCTCGATCCTCCTCCCCCTCCTTCCCCCCTGGAGGAGGGCACACACGCGACGGCAAGACGCCAGCCACCGCACGAGTCTGCGGTAGGCCACGGCAGGGGTAGGAGCGACGTCAACAATGTGGCGCGTAGGCGCCCTCGTCTCCAGTGTGGCGTGTTGCGCTGGCGGTTCGCGTAAGCCACCACGTATGGTCGCCATGCCATCTCGCGTACGACCCGTTTCTGTTCGTCGCTCAGGTTCGGATGACCCCAGTAAAGCATCCCAATCGCAGCAAGTGTGAAGAGGCGGGTCGATGAGTAGGAGGTCGGCCAGTGAAAACGTGCACTCCTATGTATCATTCGGAATTCCTGGGCGTGACAGGGGCGAGAGCTGGGCGTGGCAGGGGTGCGATCATGGCAATTTATACCGTAGTGCGTATTTTTACAGGGGATCGTGGCCAATTCTTGGGCGTGACAAGCGTGAGAGCACGGCCATGTGCACCGATACCGCTCCTTAATTAACGTATCATGAGGACGACGATGATTGCGGTACCACGGAAGATGTTGAGTTAATGATGGTGATGCTTGCGACGATGGTGATGGTGGTGGTGGTGGTGATGATGATATTGATGACAAGACATTGATGATGCTATTGAATATTATGCATTTTGCTGCATATGGTGATCGTCATGCAGTATGTGATGGCGCCGATGATGTTGATGCAGCTGGTGATAGCAACGGTGGTGATACTGATGTTGCTGATGATGGTGCTGGTGCAGATGATCATGCTGATGCTGAGTCTGGTCCTGATTATCCTAACGGTGGTGTTCATGCCAGTGATAGTGGTGGTGATGGTGGTGATGGTGATGGTTGTGGTGATGAGGGTGATGATGATGCTGCTGATGCTGATTCGGATGAGGTGATGGTGATACGTATGATGATGCTGATTATGGTGATGAGGGTGACAACCAGGATGATGATGATGCTAATGATGGTGCTGTTGCTGATGATGCTGCTGCTGATGCGGATGATTCTGATGATGATTATGACGACAACGATGATAGTGATGATGACGATGATGACGCCGGTGATGCTGATTCTGATGATGTTTATGATAATGATGCCGACGATGCTGATTCTTGTGATGGTGATGATGACGGTACGGCGGATGATAATGCTGATGCTGATGAGGACGATCATGATGTTGCTGCTGCTATTGATGCTGATGATGCTGATGATGACGCTGCTGATGATGATGCTGTTGTTGATGATGATACTGATGGTGATGATGCTGCTGATGCTGGGGGTTATGATGCTGCTGATTCTGATGATGCTGATGCTGCGATGCTGTTCGTGATGCTGATGATGCTGGCTGATTCTGATGCTGATGATGATGATGATGATGATGCTGATGCTGATGCTGATGCTGACGCTGTTGATGCTGATGCGGCTGATGATGCTGCTGATGATGATGAGGCTGCTGCTGATGATGATGATGCTGATGATGACGATGATGATGATGATGCTGATGATGCTGATGATGACGACGATGATGATGATCATATGATGCTGCTGCTGATGATGATGCTGCTGATGATGATGCTGCTGCTGATGATGATGATGCTGATGTTGATGCTGATGATGATGATGATGAGGATGATGCTGCTGATGATGATGAGGATGATGCTGATACTGATGATGATGATGATGATGATGATGATGATGATGATGATGATGATGATGATGATGATGATGATGATGATGATGATGTTGATGACGACGATGATGATGATGATGATGCTGATGCTGATGCTGATGCTGCTGATGATGCTGATGCTGATGCTGATGCTGATGCTGATGCTGATTATGATGATGATGATGATGATGATGGTGGTGGTGGTGGTGGTGGTGATGATGATGATGATGATGATGGTGATGCTGTTGGGGGAGGAGGAGGAGGAGGAGGGAGGAAAATAGGACCAGAAGGGGGAGGATGACGAGGAGTCCTCGGCCCCCTTCTGTTGCTTGAGATCCTGTCGTCGTCGTCGTCCTCCTCCTCCTCCTCCTCCTCCTCCTCCTCCTCCTCCTCCCCCTCCCCTCTTTCCCCCCTCCTCCTCCTCCTCCTCCTCCTCCTCCCTCCTCCTCCTCCTCCTCCTTCTCCTCCTTCTCCTCCTCCTCCTCCTCCTCCTCCTCCTCCTCCTCCTCCTCCTCCCCCTCCCCTCCAGTTTTCAGTCTGGCCGATGCCGCGACGGCTCGGGGGAGGCCTCGGCCCCCCGATGCAGCAGACCATTGGCGGCGTGCCCTTCATGTGCTACAAGGCGCGCGGGAGGGGCTCGGGGCTCTCGCGAGAGGGCGTCGTTGCTGGTCGGGTGGCGCAGGACTCTCCCCTTCTCCCTGCTTCCTCCTCCCTCCTCCCTACTCCCTCCTCACTGCTCCTCCCTCCCTTTCTCCCTCCTCCCTTTTTCCCTCCCTCCCTCCTGTCTTCTTCCTCCCTCCCTCCCTCCCTCCCTCCCTCCTCCCTCCTTCCTCCGCCGTCCCCCGTCGCGTCTGGTGCGTGCGAGAGCCAGGGCAAGCGTGCCACGTATTGGCCAGACCGCCGTCTCTTCTTCTCTGTGGTGATCTACCTTGTTTGTTGCCCGCAGCCTCCCGTCAGAGGCGCCCCTCCTCCTGTGCCTCCTTCCCCTCATCAACGCCAGCTCTGAAGATGCGGGCGGGCTTGCTTACGACTGGCACTCCACCCCCCCCTCCCCATCTTCATCCTCCTGCTCCTCCCCTCCTCCTGCTTTTCCTCTTGTTTCGCTTCTCCTTCTCCTCCGCCTCCTCCTCCTCCTCCTCCTCGCTCCTCCTCCTCCTCCTCCTCCTCCTCCTCCTCCTCCTCCTCCTCCCCCCCAGGCCGAGACCTCCGGGTCAGAGCCGCCTCCCCCCCCTCCCTCCCCCCCAGGCCGAGACCTCCGGGTCAGTGCCGCCCCGCGTCGCCCCTCCCGCCCTCCGCTAGGCCGAGACCTCCGGGTCAAAGCCGCCCTTCCGCAGGCCGAGACCTCCGGGTCAGAGCCGCCTCCCCCCCCTCCCTCCCCCCCAGGCCGAGACCTCCGGGTCAGTGCCGCCCCGCGTCGCCCCTCCCGCCCTCCGCTAGGCCGAGACCTCCGGGTCAAAGCCGCCCTTCCGCAGGCCGAGACTTCCAGGTCAGAGCTTCCCCCTCGCCGCGCGCGCCCCCCCTCCCCCACCACCCTTGTCTCGGCTTTGCGCCGCTGCCGCTTGGCTCAGGGCTCCGCGTTGTGAAAGGGATCGCATTCGATTGAGCCAATACCGCCGCGCGCTGATGGCGGCCAGCAAGAGCCGCAGCACGTCTATCCCACGCCGCTCCGGGCCGCGAGCGGACCGCCGTGCGCGCCGGTCCCGCTCTCGTGGCCGCGCTCCGCGTTCCCCACCCCGTGCGGGAGGAAGTGTGTACCGTGCCAGCTCCATCTACATGCGCGAGGACAACTCGCGCCTGAGCGCACGGCCCAAGTCGGCCCCGCCAGCCCCCGTGGCACCGCGCGCGGTGGCGTCCCCCTTCGAGCCGCCGCCGACAACGGGTTCGCCACCCGGCCACGGGGCCTTCCCTTGTGAACTCGGCGCTTGGCTCGCCAGGGCGGGTTTGGTGGTGACGCCCTCGACCATGCCCCCACCGCCGCCGCTAGGCGCGCCACCGCGCGCGACCCCGACACCGGCTGCCAGTCCGTGGGCGGCGCCGGCGGCAGCGTTCTCCCAGGCGCAGCTCCCGCAGGATGCCGCGGCGCCAACGCTCAACCCGACGAAGGTCATGGGGGCCCCCGCGTGGGTCCCGCCGCAACCGCGCACGCAGCCACAGCATGCGCCTGGTACCCCGCCGGGGGCTCACCAGCCGCGCGACGCCTCCTCCGGCAGGGGTCCCCCCCCAGGCTCTCCGCCTGCTTTCCCTCCGGCGTCATGGGAGGGGTATCGCCACGCGCCCGCCACAGCGGCGGTGGCGGGGAGCCTTGAGGTGGGGTCTGCTGATGCCGCACCTCCGGCACTGGCGCCAGTCGCGAGGGGCCGCGCCGCGGAGGAAGAGGAGGAGGTCGTCACAGAAATGGTCGCAGGCTTGCGCACAGTGGCGGACACCATCGAGCAAGTGGGCTTGCCGCTCGCCACCGCGGTGGAGAAGGTGCTCCAGGTGGTCAAGGCGGCGTCGGCGCGGGCGCAGGCCGCCCAGCCAGGCAAGCCCTCGCCCAGTGCGGCTGCGCCCACGTCGCCGCCGCCGCCGTCGCCACACTTCGGCCCGAGGGACGAGAAGGCGTTCTCTACGGCTGTGGACGCCTTTCGGTTCAAGCTGGTGGGCCTGGGCGATGCAAGGGGTTGCTCGCCGGGGGTTGCGCCGCAGCTTCAGGTGGACTTCGAGCGCCCGGCCGGCAACCCCTTGGAGGTAGCCAAACGCGTCCAGGCGTTCCATGGCGGTGCCGGCCCGGCCGTGGACGTGCAATTGCTCGCAGAGGAAGCCGGCAGGGTCTGGAAGAAGCCGCCGTCGGGTGTATGGTATGCTGAGAGGGGGGGAGACGGCGAGCGCAAGATCGTGCACAAGCTGCGGATCCCAGCGCGGTCAACCTACGGGCGGCAATCCACGGCGTCCGTGCAATACGACCCAGCCGCGCGCACGGTGGTCGCGCTTGGCATCAAGCAGAACTTCATCGACTACTTGGTCCAATGGGTCGGGACTTCCGGGCCGGTCACCGAGGTCACGACAGGCCCCCAGACGGTCGCCACGCCGTCGGTGCTCCAGTACCTCCAGCCGGCCGCCAAGTGAGCGGGGCCCTCCCCCCCTTCCAAACTACGCCGCGCTTCTTTGCCCCCCCCCGCCGGCTCTCCTCCCCACCCCCTGCGCGGCGGCGCCATGACGTGGTCGCCGCTCGGTGCGCCACTGTCGACTTGCATGGTTTACTTGGGACGTCCAAATACGCTCCTCCTCTCCCCCTCCCCTTCCTCCTCCGCCTCCTCCCCCCGCCCCCCCCTCTCTCCCCCCCCTCCTCCCCCTCCCCTCCTCGCTGAGGGGGCTGGGGCGTGCGCGGGGGTGTCACCCTGAGGCGTAACGGTCTGGACGCCCGACGCCGCTGTGGTCGTCGTCGTTGCCGCCGCCGCCACCGCCGCCGCCGCCGCCTCGTCGTCGTCGTCGTCGTCGTCGTCGTCGTCGTCGCCGCGGCGTCGCCCCTTCCAGTCGGGCCGAAGAGGGTGGACGCCGGCGTGTCGCCCGATTTGGGGATGCCAGCCCGTCGATTCTCTCCAGGGCTGAGTCGATGGACGCTCGCATTTCGCCGTTTTACGCGGCGCGATTCCCCTCCCCTCCGTCCTCCCCTCCCTGCCCCCCCCCTCTCTTTCCCTGCCCTCCCCCCCCCTCCTCGCTGAGGGGGCTGGGGCGTGCGCGGGGGTGTCACCCTAAGGCGTAACGGTCTGGACGCCCGACTTTCCCTATTGCTGTACCTCCGCTCTGCCAGGTCTTGACCGCGTGCCCCCTCGAGGTCAGTTCGTTCGCCTGGCCAGCAGGAGTCGCAAACAGTGCGATCGGCGTGCCGACGCTTTATTGGGGTTGATTCTAAAGGAACTTGTAAAACTACGCGTGCGACATTGATACCTGCCCTGGCTTGACGGCCACTACGCGTGCAGACATTGGGGCAGCACCACGGGAACTTGTAACTACGCGTGCTGGAACTCAAATTCATTCCTTGCGCAGCATGCTCTCCCACTTGCTGCTGATGCCGATGCTGCGCTCCCCGATCCACGGGGTCCTTGGGGGGGGGGGGTTGGAGAACCGCTTTTCTGCTAACGGCGGGGTGTGTGGTGGTGCTCGCCGCCGCCATGGCCCCCCCCCTCCCACCATTTGTGCCAGGTTTCGGCCCAGCTCTCGCCGCCCTCCCCCTCCCCTCCTGCGCGCGTGGCACTGCTCGGCGGGGGCGGCGACCTCGGCAATGCCGGCGCTCCTGCATCTGCTACGCTGGCGGGCTTGGTTGGCATCTAGGGCCGAGGCGGTTCGCGCGGGCGCCGAACTCAAGGGGCTGGTCGAGAAGGAGCTGCCCGGTGCTGCAGGTCGCGCGGGTGCTTGGCGCGCGCTGTGCTGCCGTCGCGACGCGCGCGCGCTACTGGAGGCGCAGCCGCCGCATGGCTTGACTGGCGTACCAGAGGAACTGGAGGCGTTCCGCGAGTTCGACGCAGCTGTGAGGTCCGCGAGCCGGAGAGTCGAGGCACGCATGGCCCGCGCGGCGCAGGGCATCCCCATCAATTCTATTTACGGGGCGTGGGAGGGGGGGTTGCCAGCTGTCGAGTTCCCTTCTCCTTCAGTTGAGGCGCGCGCCGTTACATTGGTACTATCGGCCTTCAACGTCCAGGGAGGCCTAGGTACAATTCGTGGTGAGGGCGCGCATGAGGGACGGGCCCGCGCCTTAGTTGCGGAGCTTCACCGCTGCGGCACGGTCGTCGCGGTAGTGTCGGAGCCACGATTGGCTCCTGGCGGGCTGTGGCCAAGCTGGGCGGGGTGCGCCTACCATGGTGAACGGAGCGCGCTACCGGACACGGTCGCGCTCCTTGTGTTGGACGAAGCTGCGCGGACGGTGGAGGTCTTGGAGGACGTTGGGGATGCGCGGTCTATCTGGGCGGCCGTCCCGCTCCAGGGCGATGGCTGTGGTGGTTTATTGTTGCTGGGCGTGTATGGCCCCCCGCCAGGGCGCGGCGTTGGGGTCCGCTGGGCGTTCTGGTTGGCCCGGTTGCAGGAGTGGCGGCTCCTACAGCACCGCCCGCGTTTCCGCGGTTGGGCCCTCGTCTTGGCTGGCGATTTCAATCTGCATGTCTCCGCTCTTGGGGGCGTGAATTCGCGCCTCGAGGAGAGGCTCGATCGTGAAGTGTGGGGGTGGTTGCAGGACGGGAACGCATTTGGTGTTGTTGTCCGCAACCCCGTCGGGGCAGCGACGCACAATTCTGGGTCTGTGATCGACGTCGTTGCGGCCTCCGCTGGTTTGGCGGCCATTGCGGCGGTGGTGCCAGCAGTCGAGGCCGGTGTGACCAGCGACCGCTGCAGGCTCGACCTCTCCGTGGGTGCTACTGTTGGCTGCGTTGGGACGCAAACTCTGGGGCTGGCAAGGTGGGCGCGCGACGCTGACTGGGGCGAGGCCCTGCTACTGTTGCCCGTATCGCTCCGCTTTCTCACTGGTTGGGCGGGCGCGGCCATGCGCTCCCCTACTATGCGGCGGTGGGTGGTGGATGGCCGAAGCCGTGGCGTTCGCCAGGGGCTGGTGGGCCGCGCTGTTTGGTGGCGCGCAGCGGTGTGTACATTGGC